TCTCTTGGGTGAGAGGAGAAAATGAAGCATAGAGACAGACAGGATGCAGCTTTCTTAGTGAGACAAAGTGTGACTTAATCAGCTGTGCACTAGAACTCTGTGTGAGGGACAGAGGTTAACAAAACATTGGGAATATACTGATGCGAGTGGTTTGGGAGAAGGACAGATCTTCAAATAGAGTGGAAGTTCTCTGTGAATGCCACCCAGAGCAGGGTAAGCATCCCTAATCCAAAAATCCAAATCCAAAATGCTTCAGTGTCCAAATCTGTGAGCACTGTTAGGACTCCACAAGTGGGAGCCCTTGGACATGATAGGTTGTAGTCAAATGTATGTGAATTTAAAATGTTACATAAACTTGCCTTTAAGGTAGGCATAACAATATATATATATATATATATCACATAGTTTTCCTCTTTAAACTTGGACTTCACTCCTAAGATATCTCATGTATATGCAAATATCCCAAATTAAAAATAAAAGGCAACAAATCTGAAACATTCTTGGTCAAATCATTTGGGATGAGGGATGTTCAGCGCTTATTGTTAGAGTGCTGGCAACCCTAGCTGGCCCTCAGGACGTCTTGCTAATACCTAGCTGTTGGTGAGCTTTGCTCTCAAGTGTCAGTTGTTTGCTAGCCTTGAGATACAGGCAGAGCTTTGGAGGGCAATCTGGATTTGGGGAGTCATAGGCCCCACTGGCTCGTCTGGCATAGCCAAGGCCATGGGTAAAGATATTGGCCATCAAGCTTGGTGACTTGAGTTTAATCCTTTTGATTTACATACTGGAAAGACCTTCACATAGGTGTCCTGACAGGATGCCCCAACACATACACACTCTCACATACAAAATAAACAAATCAATGTTAAAAAAGAGGGTCTCTCAGACAGCGAAGGTTACAAGGTTGAAGTGAGTCCACACCAGTTGGTGAGGAGCTGTTGCTTGGTGTTCTCCATGCTCACTCATCATGACGCAAGCCCTCGGCCACACGGTGCCTTACCTATTGCCATGGGGAATACTGGAACACCGTATGCATTTAGGCTCGTGTGTGAACAAAGTGCTCCACTATCTGTGCCTCAGGTCAAGGAAGAGTCACAACACTGGGTTCGGGGGTGGGGTCTTCCAACTCTACTGTATATTATAACCACCCAGAAGGCCCTAAAATCCTAGGGCGGGGCAACCTGAAGACCTCAGGGCGCAGAGGCGCAGTGGAGACTTGGTGTGCAGTAAGTGGAGAAGCCTGAACCCTGCGGGTGAGGCCTGGGTGGTGTGAGCAGCATGGAAAGGCTGGTGGTGAAGCAGATGTGGGACCATTCTTGGGGATGTAACAGGGAGGGCACAGGCCACGGGATACCCCTCCTCGGTTTACCACGGAGAGAGAGACGTCGGGTGCGCTTTCCAAATATCTGGCTATTGTTTATTTTTTTAAACCTTCATTGTTATTTCAGAACCTTGAGGGATAAAAGACTTTAAGCCACTAATACCCTGGGTACGTTTTTAGAGAATTAAATAATTTCTATATCTAAAACAGCCTTACAGAATAACTATTTTATCCTTTAAGCAAATACAAGCTAAGCTTCCTCTCAAATAATGGTGTATTCAACAGCAGCTCCAATTCTTATTAATCCCATACCTGTAAGAAAGAAGGTCTCAAAATAAATGGGATTTTCATGGTGGTTATAATAACCATGAGTCTTCTTTACATGATTAAGATGTATTGTCAAACCAGTGTGGCTTTTTTCCTGGAGACATTGAAAGGATTAGGCTTAAAGACTTTTAGAGGAGCACTTTTAGACTTTAGAGTATGTGACCACAGTAAAGTTTTCTATAGCTCTCTCTCCCTTTTTTCTCTCTCCCTCCCTCCCTCTTCCTCCTCCTCTCTGTGTGTATATGGGTAGCCCACACTGGCTTGGAACTTTATGTGTAGTCCAGGCTAGCCCCAAACTTGTGGCAAGCCTCCTGCCTAAACCTCTGAAGTGCTTGGATTACAAGTGTGAGCTAGCAGCAGCAATTGTCCGTTTTATCGGCATTAGAAAAGGTTTTCTTGACGGCTGCAGATGGTGGGTGGCTCAGTTGGCAGAGTACTGGCCTAACAGGCACAAAATCCTGGATTTGATCATCAGCACCAAATAAATCCGAGGTTGTGTCACAGACCTGTAATGCTGGCTCTTGGGAGTTGAGGCAGGAGGATCAGAAGTTCAAGGTCATTTTTAGGGTACATAGTGAGTTCAAGGCTAATCTGGGACATGTGAGACCTTGTCTTTAAAAAAAAGGAGAAAGAAAAAACAATCGTTGTCATTCTCAACCTCCCAAGTCTACCCAAAAGGAACCAAAAGGGCACAAACCTTCACAAAGTGAAGGCGGGGAGCTTGCCTGGCATTCCAGAATGAAATAATGCCAGGTGAGACTAGGACAGCAGGGTAATCAGAGGTCACCATGAGACTGAGGCGACTGGGGTGCACAGCATTCACTGGAGAGGTCGGGGACATTGACTTTGATGTGCCATCCTCACACCGGTAGCCAGGATTTCTAGAGGTCCTCTCTGGCTTCTGGCTTCCAGGTTCTAGCGTTTTTTTGCTTTTATGGGACAGTCTCACTGTGTAGCCTAAGCTGTCCTTGAACTTGAGGAGATTCTCCTGCCTCAGGCTCTTCAGTGCTAGGAGTACAGGTATGAACCACCACTCCCCAATCATAGTCTTGACTCTGAACAGGGCATAGACTGATGATGAAGCCTTGGAGATAACAAGGGAGAAAAACCCTGGTTCTTGTGCGGAGAGAACAAGGGGCAGGGCAGGATCTGGACACAGTTGATCTCTCCTGTGTCAGGAGCAGTGGGTGCAGAGCCAAGGGGAAGTGGATGAGGCAGGGACAAGACACTTCCTTCCAGTTCCCAAGAGACCACCCGGAGCAAGCAAACACAGACAAACTCACCAAGAGACAGGAGGGTTTCCGAGGCCACGGTTCTGATTTCTTCAGTGTCAGACTGACACAGTGTCACTAGCATTTTAATGCTTTCTGTGGCCTGCCGGGGAAAATAGATCAGTGCCTGACCCTTAGACGCAGTCTTCCAAGAGACTGAACAGGTAATTCTTTAAGCTGTAGCCCACTGATTCCAAAATGACCCTCGTTTTAGAACTCTCGTGCTTGTATTGAAACCACATGTTGTGTGGGATTCTTTTCATGAGTTGGGGGTGGTTTGGAAGGAGGGCGTCTGTTCCCAGAAGGGACGGTGTCTTCTGGGAGAAAAGGAATAGAGCAGTGGGCATGGTCTTCTCAGCTGGGGATATGCCTGGGTTAGAACCTAAGTCCGGTAGAGCCCACATAGACGGCTGCTGTACCCTATGTGTCTATCCGTGTGAAGTCTGGAGCAGAGACACTCAGCTATGATGAGTCACAGCACGCCAGGAGAGTGCCCAAATAAATACTTAACCAATGGGAACATTTTTTGGGTGGGGGTTGGGTCACTTGAAGGTAATTTTCTGACCATGTAACAAGGAAGGCAAAATTTCCCACGGCTGTTTTCCTTCACAGATCATTAACGTTTCCTTTTATGGCATTAATCCCTTGTTTTCACATCCCTCCAGGCCTGCTCCTTGTCCCCTGTGCCCATCTAAGGTTTTAGTAAGCACTAAGGTGTGGCTCTCTCATCCCCCGCCCCCCCCAATGTTTTTGTGGTAAAGGCGGGTCCCACATGAGGTTCTAGCCTTCCATTGGAAATCTGCAGCCTTTGCATTTAGCTCTCTCCCTGCTCACTAATGCCTCCTCTAGCACATTATCATCACTCAGGGGTCAGCTGCATCCAGCATGCAGCCTGCAGGCCACGTGTGGCTGAGGCTAACAGTGTAGCCTGACACAAAATCATAGATTGGAAACAGTGTGTGATTTTTTTTTTTTTGTAACTTGACTGTGAACTTTGTAGGTGATAACATAATGTCATGGTATCAAAGGCTGCACATGCCTGCAAACTAACTTCAGGAGAAAGGATCGGGGACCTCAGTGGCAAACTGAGTTGAGACACTTCAGTGCAGGCTTTGTTTTTCTATGCCAATTTGTACACAGTAAACATTGGGGAAATGACCATATCATCTCCTTTGTGGGTTAAAATACTTTTCTAACAGTGACCCAAAGTCACTCTGGCTCTTGTGGGCAGTGGGAAACCGCAATTATTCTCTTCTTGGTGACTTTAACAAAATCCTGTGCAGTCCTTGTACAAGGAGAAAAAGGACCCTGCTCATGCAGCTCCTAGGAGATAGGAGTCACTGCCACAAGAAGGGCTTTGGATAGGGAAGGAACCCGATATGGCTATGTGGCATGGCTTGTCTCTAAGCTTAACGGACTGAGTTGTTCTAGGGCTGACCAGGGATGGGGTCTCTGAGTCCGGACAGGGCTGAGGGGCTTTGATTTTGGAAGTGTGGGGCTGGAGGGCTTTGGGACTGGGCTTTACCTCCAGGCTCTTTAGTGCCAGGCAGGCTGCCTTCTGTAGCTGGAGATTGGTCTTTGTTAATGCTTCACAATAATAGAGCAAGGCCTGGAAGGGAAGAAGAGATGCTGTGAGACATTTTGAATGGTTTGTCATTCAAACAGTATGTAAGACCAGGGAACAAGGGAGGGTAATTGGGGTGGGGGAATGTTGGAGGCCACGAGAGGGGACCAACAGGCAGCACTGGAACTCATGGAACATGGCTGGGCAGTTGGCAAAGCTACAGCCGAATGAGCCTTGGAGAGGCAAAGCCCCGAGGACTATGTGTCCTGAGGACCTCATGCTGTTAGTGAGCATAGCTCTGATTGTTGCTGTCAGGGTCACCACATTCCTCATCATCTGTGGGTTGTATGAAAACTCTCAGGGGGTTTCTAGCCCCTCACTTGGCAGTATTACTGATACTTACAATAATAGTGATTGACTTTTTCCACGCATTGCTGCTGGAGCAGATTAATGATTCAATCACCACCCTTAGAAAGAATTTAGACATGTAGAATTGTTAGCAAGGTTAGGTTAAGGTGTTTTTGTTAATGGCTTTGAGGTAGAAAATCTTGGGGAACAATTTAAAGTTTAGAAAGGCACATAGTTGAGTGAGGGACTTGTTGAGGTCAAGAAACAAGACCAATGGCAGCCTGGCTGTTGCTGGCTGATGAGCCTTTCTTGCTAGGATAGGTTGGCGATCAAAGGTGATAATTAATTCCTTGTACCCATTTCTGCCCTCAGCTTCCTGATATAAAAAATGTTGATGAGTGGGTGTGCACCCTGCAGATTCAAAGTAGAGCTGCCTGATTGTATTACATTTTTATATTTGTGGTTACTTTAAGATTTTTTTTATAAAGTTACCTTTTGAGATAAACAATAAAATGATTGGTCCTTTCTTTGTAACTGCAAAATACAGCCTGCCAGCAAAAGAACTGGCTGAGAAAAAGACCTTGCTTGCTTACACTCTGTTAACAAGTTGCTTGGGTATGAATGTATGTGGGTTCCTGGGAGAACTTGTTTTTCACCTTCCTATGTAATCATGTAAGGGATATGGAAAGCACGCTGTTTTTACCTGTGTTCATTGGGATACATAAGCTGTGAGGGAAAAACTAAAGACAGGGGAGAAGGAGAATACCAGGAACGATGAAGAAGGAAAGATGTGGAAGGAAGACATCAGGACATAGCTAGAAGGAAGGAAGACCTCAGGAGAGACAGAAGGGAAACATCAGAAGAACAGAGTAGAACAAGCAACAGAAAGAAAAATAAATCAAAGAACTAAGCTTTGGCCCTCAGAAAAGTCCTCGTGCGTTTGTCTGTCTGTCCAGCAGTTTGCCTGCTCTACACCTCCTCTTCAGCTTCTCTGGCCTGCTGAAGGCTTGCCATTCATCAGCAACCTAGATGAGATTCTGACATGTTGGAGGTGTGTGTGTGTGTGTGTGTGTGTGTGTGTGTGTGTGTGTGTGTGTGT